AAAAAAAAAAAAAAAAAAAAGAGCTGAAAATGCACCGTTTGGTGCCATAATGATTTCAATGCCCCCACAGTGCATCCCTGCAGCTCCCACCACTCTTTGCTGTGCTCCTCACAGAGCCTCAGGATGGTTTCTCGACGCCCATGAGTGCTCACCTGCGTGAGTGAACCCCTCCACTGCCAGACAACCCCAGGCTTGCATCAGCTCCATGGAAATGCCAATTTGGTTTTAATCCCTTCCCAATGAGCTGGAAAGTCTCACATTGGAACAGCCCACCATCCTCTGTCCCAGCAGGAAAGGCCCCTTGACAGTGACGTTGTGTCTGGGGTCACTCGCGGGGCTCTGCCGGAAGGAGGGCGATGTGTGGAGCCCCCCGTGCCACAGGGCACCCTGGCCCAGGCTGTCAGGACATTTTAAATTACTTACTGGAGTGTAAGGACAGGAAAACATCCCATTCTGGCACGGCATGACTCACCATCACTGCCTGGAAGGAAGGCTCCGTGCTGCGCTTGCCCCAGTGGGAGCACTGTGTCCTGGCAGAACCCCCTGTTTGGGGTCTGGATGTGGGGGTGAATGCAGCTCATGGGTCCAAGAGGAGGAGCAGCAGCTCTGCATTCGAGCCCAGCCTCAGGAATGGCAGGGCTGTGCCAGATGGCCATGCCACAGGCACTCAAACCAGGAGGGACAGACCAGGAGAGGAGGAGGTGTCCTTCAGAGGGACCTTCAGGGTGGGCACAGAGGAGGTGACCCAGGCTAGGAAATGCTGGATGTGGGAGAAGCTCCAGAAAAGCTTGGCAAGGAGAAGGACTGGGGATTTTTTCATTTTCTCTGCAAAGTCCTGGTTTCTCACCATCTGAACCGCTGCCTTCAGGAGTGCAGGCACAGGATGGCCATGCAAGGGTGACACACTTTCACCTGGAGCAGCTGGGAAGAAAAGAGCAGGCAGTGGGCAGGGCAGAGCCGGGCAGAGCCAGGTAGAGCTCTGGGGAATAGTCCAGATGGGAACTCCCAAAAACAGGGTAGCAACAGCTGAAGGCACCCAGACTGCCATCTCTGCCAGCTGCAGATCTAGGGCTCCATCACACACAAAGCTTGGGGAACTGCATTGGTCCTCATGGCCCCGTGCACAGGGAAAAGGGCTGCTCTGGTGCTCAGGGGAGCTGCCCCATGCACTGTGACAGGCAGCTCTGGGGCGTCTCATCTCCCTGAATGGAGGAGACTCCATGCCAGGCAACAGAGACTGCTGGGTCCCCATCCCCCTGCATGTGAAGCCAGGCCCAGGCAGGAAGACAGAGCCACGGTCACCCAGCCCTGGGAGCTGCCCCGATTTCCCAGGAGTGCTGCAAAGCTGTGGACAGGGTGTCTATTTTGTTTAGCACTGCGAAAAACAAGACAAAAGAAAGGCAGCAGCTCCCTGGGTCCCCGTGCTGGGTGCTGGGCAGCAATACCACCCGTGTCCCAGCACATCCCTGCTCCTGTTCAGGTGGCAGGGACGGGCCCCTCTCCACAGCCACACGTGGCCCCCCAGCCTGCCCACCCGTCCCCCTGCGTGGCTGGTGGCTGACGTCAGGCAGCAGATGGATCCTGTGCCTCGCAGGCTGGCGTGGGGGTGGCACCGGCGGTGCCGACAAATACCACGGCTGTGACGGCGCTGGTTATTCTTAGCGCCCGCGGAGGCGCTCAGGGGGTCGCCTGGCAGGGGGGTTGGCACCGCCGGGCTCCCCTGGAGCAGATGGCCCATCAGCATGAGCCAGCTCCCACCAAAGCACCAACAGGGAAGGAACAGGGAAGGCAGCACAGGCAGATTGCACCAGGAGCCCTGCCTGGTGGTGCCCCGGCTGCAGCAGGGTCTGCAAGGAGATCTGGAGACCCCCTGAGAATGGGACACAGTGCAGTCCCTTCTTCAAGACTCCACAGGGGAAGGGTCCTTTCAAAGTGAGCATTAGGAAAAGGGCCTGTGGAACCTGGACAGCCCTACAGCTCCCAGACAGACAGATGGTACATGGCTGGGTCCACGGCCAGCACAGAGCTGGCTAAACTCAGGCCCCTGCAGCCCTGCACATTCCTCCTGCACTCTCCTTCCCAGTCCCTCTCTAGTCTGAGAGACTGCAGGAGAAGCTGGGGCAGGACTGGAGTCCCTGCCCTGAGCTGGGAGCAGAGCATCCTGCATTTCAGCCAGGAGAAGGAAATCCCTTTCAGTGCCGATGGAGGAATGTGGAGCCCCTCTTTGTGCGATGCCCTTCGGGGTCAAAGCTGTCCTTGCCCTCCTGGTGTGCCCCACTGTCTGGCATGTCACACTATGCCAGTCATGGTTTAGGCCTGGCAATGCCACATCTGGGCGTGGAGCACCTGGGTGCCCTTGAGGGAAATGGGTGTGCAAAAACCATCATTGTCCCAGTCCCGTGAACAGTGGGACCCAAAAAGGCCAGAGCTAAACATAGGAGACCTACTTTTCCAGCTGCCACAGTCAGCAGCAGGGCTGGATGCCTGCTCCCAGCTGATCACCTCAAACCACCACGTGGCTCCCAGATCTGGGGCTTTAGGGAGCTCGTCGTGGCTTGCACGTGAGATATGTGCCGGTTGTGGATGAGAAGCAAAGAATTGATGGCCGCGGAGCAGCAGGGCTGGTGTGGGGCAGCCCTGTCCACGGCCAGTGCTGGCCTTGGGGCTGCTTCGAGCGCTGAGTGGCAGCTCTGGTGAGGCTGGAGGGGCCACGGGCCAGGCGGCACAGCCACAGGGCAGAAGGAGTCTGGAGAAGCCAGCGACCTGCACCCAGGGCCACCTTCAGTGCCGTCGGGGATGGGCAGGACCGACGGGCCCGTGGCAGAGCCATGGGGGGCTGGAAGCGGGGAAGGGGTGCCAGCCCTGGGCGTCGTGTCCTTCCCTCTGTGCCCACGGGATGGCAGCAGCCTCCCGCGGTCCTGCGGGCACCCGCCCACTGAGCCCGGCGTGGGGCTCAGCTCCGCCCGGGGCGCAGCCCAGGGAGCGGTGAGGGCAGCGGGAGGAGCCCCCTCCTCAGCTCACGGGGCCCGTTCTCCAGCCGAAGGGATGGAAGAAGAGAAAGCTGAGCAACCTTCTGCTTCCGCGGATCCTGGCAACAGTGGGGTCATCAGGGACCCCGTCACCACTGGTGTGGTCATCCTGGGATGCCCTCGCCAGCGGGGAGGCTCACCAGGGACCCCCTCACCAGCCCCCTGCCAGGCTGTTCCCACTGCACACAGGGAAGACGGATAAGGCTCATTCCCCTTCCCTCCTTCATCACCCACTGGAAGGGGTGAGGAAGCACCGCATCAACGGCCCTCACCGTGCCAGTGCACAGAGGGTTGGGACATTCCTGTGACAGACAGCCTGTGGGCGGTCCCTTCTTCAGGAACTCACCTGTTTTTAACATCACCCCAGGGCTGACAGTTCCCCCCGCCCACACCTGGATCCCCGCTAGTGCCAACTCCACTGGGAACCGGATCCTGCCCGTCCCCAGGACCGATGGACTGGCATGGCACGGAAAGCACTGCCTGAGGTCGCTGTGGCCACTCTCCCAGCTGTGGATCTGTGGTGGCCGCTGTCTCGTGCCTCCCCTGGTTACTATCCTGGAAACCGCTTCATCCTCATGTGATGCATCTTCCTCCTTCTCGCCAAACAGGGAACAGGAATGTTTATTGGACACTTCTGCCACTCCTTCAGTGGGAACAGCTACCCCGTTAAAATCCCCGGCGGGCACAGCGCTGCCGCCAGGATCCCCGCTGTCCTGGTGCTCTGGCGTCTTTGCCCTGCCGGATTTTGACCTGGTTTACTCTCCCTATCAATCCCGTGCCCTTCAGACACGCTGCCATCCTCCGATTGCTGCTTCTTGCACCTCTTTACACCAACCCTTCTGTAACCTCTCCATACAGAACCTCCCTCTGCCCCCACGTCCCCCTGCCCATGGTGGGCTTCCCCAGCCTGCCTGCTCCCCACCTCGGCAGCTCTGATCCCTCGGACCCTTGCCCAGCCCTTTCCCACCAGCTCTCGGTTGTTTTTCTCTCCGAAGGGTGAGGGATTACCGCGCTGGCCCGCGGGGTTCATGACCGGCAGCAGTGGCAGCCCAGCACCGCGGCCGCCCTCTCATCCCATCTTTTACGTGTGCTCTGGAGCCGGGACCTCGTCACGCTCCCGTTCCTCACCCTGAGGGTCCCGGGCCGGCCGTCCCCACCTCTCTGCGGTGTTGTCCCATGTCCCAGCTCCATCAGGGCAGCACAATGTGCCTCAGCCACTCTTTGCCAGCCCATCAGTGCGGGTCACTGGTGGCAGAAACGCTCCCCCTGCAGTGTCAGGGAAGCCACTTTTCCCCCTCTCAGAAATCCCCTTTTCCCCTCGCATATCCCTGAACCCCCCGCATCTACCGGCGAGTCCCAACGTGCCCCACATCCATGGCTCCCCGGCTCCGTGCGCTCCACCCACGCCAGGTTTGTCTCCGGGCGAGGAGGCTCCTAGACGTTCTCAGCAGTGGGACCGGGTCCCTCCTGGCTTTCCTCCCATTCTGGGGCCTTTCATCCCCTTTTCCCCCTTTCCTGCCCCGGCTCCGGCACCACGCGGGCTGCCCGCGCCGATGCTTCGGAGACTGATGCCGCGGGCAGCTCCAGCCTCCTGAGCCCCCCCGCTCAGCCTCCCCGGTAAGCACAGAGAGGGGAGGGGGTCCCCACCGAGAAGGGGGGCACTGTGTCCCTTTGTCACCCCACGTCGCTCCTTGCCAACTTCTCCCGGACCCACGCGTGGGGTGGGTGCGCGGCGCTGCCGGGGGCGGTGGGTGAGCGGCACTGTGGCGGAGCGGGGCGGAGCGGGGCCGGGCCGGGCGGAGCAGGGCCGGGATGGAGGGAGGAGGAGCGGGGCCGGGGCGGGGAGGAGCGAAGCGGAGGCGGGCGGGGCTGGAGCGGGGCCGGGGCGGGCGGGGACCGTGCGCGGCGCTCGGCACCGGGCGCGTCCTGCAGCCGCTCGCCCTCCGCGGCCCCGGGAGCGGCCCCGGCGGCGCCGCCGTGGCCAGGCGCGGGGACACCCGGGATGTCCTCGTCGCCCGCGGAGGAGTGCCGGTCGCCCGTGGGGCTGGACTGCTGCAGCTGCTGCCTGGACCTGGCCAACCGGAGCGGGCTGGAGGAGGGGGCAGGCGGCGAGAACAACAACCCGGGCAGCCCCACCGTGAGCAGCTTCCGGCAGCTGCGGGAGCAGCTGGTCCGGCAGAACCTCAACACCGACAAGCTGAGCTCCATCATGCGCCAGGACTCGCTGGAGCCCGTCGTGCGGGACCCCTGCTACCTCTTCAACCAGGGCATCTGCAACAGGAACATCGACCAGACCCTGCTCTCCATCCTCCTCCTCTTCCACAGGTGGGTGTCACCGCCGGGGGCCGGGGGGCTGCCAGGGACTGGGAGCGCCGGAGCTGACAGCAGGCTCGGAGCTGTCAGCGGTGTGGGGCAAGACGTGGGGCCTGCAGCCCCCCCCGGGCTGGCAACGGACGGGGACTTGTGGGACCCCGGGGCTGGGGGGGTGGCAGCGCCGGTGGGGTCTGCGTGGGGAGAGGCAGGAGCGGCCGCGCGTGGCACGGAGCCTGTGGGTGGTGCTAGCCCATCCCTGGGTGCGGGTCTGGGTGGCTCTGCTCCACCGTGCCCCTCTCGTGGTGCCCCGTGTCTGCTGGGCAGTGACAACAGCTCCCAGCTGTGTGTCTTGGCCGCTGGACTCTGTGCTCGTCTCCCTGGCTACCTCTGTCCACACAGACAGTGCCTGCAGGGGCATGGATAGTGTCCAGCGACAGACGGGCATCAGCCCCATTCTGCGTGGAGCGGGTTGCAGGTTCCTTGGGAAGCAGTCGTGCTGTCTCGAAAGCCACCTTGAGTGTCAGTGAGACCCTGGGTAGGGAGTCTGCAACTCCCAGTGCCAGGTCCTGCCCTTTCAGCAGCTCCCCTGGCTCTTCCCAGAGTAAATTGAGTGGAGATAGATTTGGCCTGGGTGGTATTTCCCATCCCTGGAAAGCGCCTCTGCCCTGACTGAGCTGCCCTCACTGGACTCCAGGCTGTTCTGGGTGGGCTACCTGTGCCCACACAGCAGGATGTGCTCGGGGCTGCTCCCGGACACTCCCTGGGGGGCTGAGGAGGCAGTACTGGGGGATCCACCCTGCTCCCCTGCTCTAGCAGTGAGGGCAGAGGACACTGAACAGGGAGTCCCAGGGGCTGCCACTCCACAGGGTCCTCAGCCCTGACAAGGTGGACCCCAGGGGCAAGGAGTAGACAGAGCTGTCTGAGGTCCTGCACTGGTGCTGTGTGGGGCTGGCCCCGGTGTCCAGCAGCAGGGAGGGTTGGTGACACCCTTTGTGGGAGCAGCCTGTGCTGGGGCTCGCAGGTCTGGGTCTTCCACCTTGGCCTGGGAGAGCCGAGCTGGGCCGGCGGTGCCGAAGCTGCCTGTGGCTTCAGCAGGTGGGACACATTACCCACCCACAGGGCTGAGGGGAGCTATGGCCTATCGGTGCATCGCGGGCAGGTGTCTGCATGGCTGGCAGGGCAGGCAGCGGCTCTGGCACTCGCTGCTCCGCTGGAGAGGAGGAGTAGCTCGCAGGGGGGGCGCGGCAGCACCCACGCGTTCACAGACACCTCGCCATCCCCTTCCCTCCCTGCACGCACATGCACCCGTGGGCGCGCTCCCGTGGGCTGTGCGCGGGCGGGCGAGCCGCCCCTCGTCCCCTCGCCCGGCGCGGGAGGCGGGTGGGCTCACACGTGGCCGCCCCACGCGTGCGAGCCGCCCCGGCGCACGCCCGCCTCCTCGCCCAGCCAAGCGTCTGACGCCGGGAGGCTGCTGCCTCGAGCCGGCCCTGGCGACGTTCTTCCTGCACTTACATAACGCCGAGCTGCCGCTCAGGTGGGAAAGGAGGAGCTGGGACACCCGCCAAGGCACCGGTACCCGTGCAGCCAGCGAACCTACCCAGCTGGGAGGGGACGGGACCGAGAGTTCCCCTGCTCCCTAGGGAGGCTGCAGCCAGTTGGCACCACAGGTGAAGGGGGTGAAGTGAGACACTGTCCCCAGTGTGGGCTGCCAGGGCTGGGGTCGGAGCCAAGCACCCGGGCTGCTCGGTGGGGCAGGCAGTGCCCGTGGGCACAGCAGGCTGCTTTTGAACTTGTCCCTGCTGGAGCAGGACCCAAGATCTCTTGGTTAGCACCTGGTGAGCTCCTGCTGTGGTAGGGAGATAGTAGAGGTGCCAGGGGATCAGGATTTCTCCCCTATCTGTGCCCCTCAGTGCTCGTTGCTGCCTGTCCTCCGTGCCCTGGTGTGTGTTGTGTCCCGAGAGGCTCCGGGCATTCCCTTTTGTGACACCCCTGTGCCGTGGTGTGGCGCAAAGCCGTGTCCCTCCATCACACTTGATGTCCAAGCACCTTGGTCTGGAGGTTGCCTGGGTGATCCCCTGTCCCCCTCAGGTGTCACAGCGTGGGGGAGCTGGGTGCACGGCCCCGGGCATTGGAGCCAGGTGTGCCCACACCTGTGTTTGCGGTTGTTTTGCTCCAGCCTGAACTTTCTCCTCCTGGGGAATGAGCCAAGACACCCAAGAGGAGATAGCATATACAGCAGAGAATTGTGGGTGCCAGAGGAACACCTCGATAACAGGCCTGATAAGGGTACCCTGCTGCTGGCACCAGGGAACCCAAACCACTTAGTGCCCCTTGTTGTGGTTGATGTGCTCCAGTGACACAGGAGGAGGTGGAAGTTGTGTGGATGCACACACTCGTGCATGGCCGACATCCAGCACGGCACGGGAGCACCGAACTGCTGTGCTGGGGGTCGAGTCTGGTTCTGGTGCTGGCTGGAAACAGCTCTATCAGGGTCAAGTCAGTGCTGGGCATCTCAAACAACTCGTATTCAGCATGTCTGACCTGTCTCCGGGGGTTTCCCCAGCTGGGTGGTCTCTGCTAGGCTCTCCGTGCCCCTTTGCTCACAGCAGGGGTGTTGTCAGGGATGAACAAGGCAGGGATGCTCTGGACTGATTGCCTCCAGGGCTGACACTCCTGCAGGAAGCCTTCCTGCTCCAGGAGTGCATGGGATCCTGTGCCCAAAGGGCTTCTCCCCACTGTGCCCTCACACAGGGCATCACAAACTGCTCTCCAGGGAGATCTTGGGAGTGCCAAGGGGCCAAGCTCACATGGAAGCATCAGGTAGAAGGAGGGCAGCTGCCACCATCCTGGCTGGGCACACCTTCTCCCCGCAGATGCCAACACAGTGGGCAAAAAGGCCTTTGCAATCCCTCTGCAGTGTTACCCCAGCTCATCCCAGAGCCAGGCATGAGCCTGACCAAGTGTGGGTCAGGAAGTGCAGCCCTGTGACCGTGTGACACCTTTCCCCAGGGCAGGGGGTGAGGGGAGCCGGTGGCGTGAGGAGGTTGGCGCTGTGGGAGGAGCAGCACCCCGGGTGCGTGCTGGCACCTGATCGAAGCAGGACCCCGCCTGGCTCTGGGTGGGGAGAGGAGGTACGTGCCAGCCTGCTCGCCCACATCGGCCAGCCGTGCCAGCACTCCTTCCAGCCTCTCCTGGGCAACACCTGGCAGCCTGGCCAGCCTGTGTCCATCCTGCTCCGGGCAGTGAGGGGATGCCTCTGCACAGCCAGACAATCTCCGAGCACTGCCCGACCTGCTGCTCCACCGAACAGGTTGGGCAGTGACCCACCCTTTGGTCTGAGCCATGAAAAGGGCTGGGGTCCACCTTCCCCTGGGCCAGAGCAAGTCAAGGAAGTCACAGGGAGGCAAGGGGGCCTCAAGTGTGATGAATTTGGGCGGGAGAAGCAGGGCAGCACCGCCTTTCCCACTGTAATGTCAGGCTGGTGAGCAAGAGTGCCTGGACAGCGGTACCAGGGTGGTATTTGTGTCGCGGTACCAGGGTGGTATTTGTGTCACAGCACCACTTGTTCCTGTCCATCGAGTGTCACTTTGTGGCAGCAATGCAGGAGGAGAGGAGCCAGGGCAGGAGGAGAGGAGCCACGGCCTAAAGGGCATCCCGGGGTGGCGGGGCCAAGGCATGCATTCCAGCTGGCTGAGTGGGCTGGAGCAACAAGGACACATTGATGGGGAGAGGGGCCACAAGTGAGCGTGAGAGAGGTGTGGGTGTGAGACCAAGCTGTCCTGCTCTCCCTGCTTTGGCCCCGGGACAGCTCTGCCAGGGAGGGGGCTGGGAGGGCCCCCTTGCCCACCAAGACCATGCATCAGGGTTTGCTTGCATTGCTCCCAAAGGACAGAGCTGCACGTGGCCTGTCCCGTGGCCTGCAGTGTGGTTTGCCAGCCCTGCTCACTGCTGAGGTGCCAGGGAGATTTAGTTTCAGTGGCAGGAGTAGTTTGTACTGCTGGGAGGTGCTGACCTTGGTGTGCCCAAATCCTCCCACCACCAGGAAGATGCCAGGCAGGCAGCCAGCTGAGCCCACCTCGGTCTCCATCTTGGGCATCCTGACACCCTGGGACGCCCACCCCGTGACCCAGCAGACTTCGGAGCGATGTCCCCACAGGTCAGGTTTACAGGGCTCTGATATAGCACAGGGGGTTCAGCATGGCTTGGCAGGGCTAGTGGCAGAACACACCACACCATGCACTGTGCCTGTCCCTTCCTGCTCCTGCAAGACCCAGCTCCCTCCAGACTCCCAACATTCCCTGGAGCTCAGGAGACCCCTGCTTAGCCCCTCCAGCCTTTTGGGACGGAACCATTTGCCCACGACCACAAAGCTATGGCCAAGGGGGCTGGCACAGCTGAGCTAGAGTCTGGTGATGCCAACGTCAGCTGCTCAGCAGCTCGTCACCTCAGTCCCCTCGGGATGCTCTAGCACTGCCTGTCTGCCAGGGCAGGTGCCTGGCTCTCCACAGGCAGGGGTAGGTGTCCCAAGGTCGGGCAGGGATGACAACATGGCCCTATGGGGAAAAGGCTGGACAGGATTTATTTCCAGCTGTGAACTTTAAAGATGTGGAAGAGGTTGGAGCTGGAGCAGGTTGCAGGGGTCTGCCCTGGTCATCAGCATTGTGCCAATTCCCTCCAGCATCAAACTTTCCCTTCCTGTGAGACATGGCCTGATCCTGGATGGTCTCTGCTGGGATTATTGCCACCTCTCTGGCCACTGCCCAGCACGAGGAAGGTTAAAGCCAACCTTGTGCTTTGGGGGAGCACCGTGACCTGCGTGGGACCAAGGGGCTCGGAGGGGCTTGGATGTGTGTCATCAGAGCTTGGCAGCTGTGTGTGTGCCCAGGGGATGTGACTGTCCATGTGCTGTAAGGGGACTGCCAAGGGGAGTGGGGGTCCAGGTTGGATCCTGCCCTTGGAAAGGACTGAGACCCTGTTGGTACATGGCAGAGAATCACAGAATTATTTAGGGT